CCTGCTCACCTGACCACTCCCCCACCCCCCAACTCCCGCTGCTGCCTTTGATACTCTTGGCTTGGGTCACCTGCTATGGGACAGGCGCTGGACACAGGCAGTTTATGGAGGGAGAAGTGGGAGGGGTGATGGTGTCCGTTTAGCTCAAGGACCATGAGTAGCCCTCTGGTCAGGCTGAACCCTGTCTCCACCAAGGCTGTCTGGCTCCATACAAATTAGCTTAGCACCAGTGTCCTCTCCAGGCTGGCCTGGGCTGGAGGGTGAGGTATGTGAAAGTGAGCTAGACCTAGGAACCTGCAATAAGGAAAGAGACTGGAAGGTTTTGGCATCAGAAAAGAAATACTGAGGGGTTGGAGGCTGTGTGGCTGAATGGGGCAGGTGTTTCTTGCAAAAGCAAGGTCAGATTGAGACCCGGGAATAGGGAGGCTGCAGAGTTCAGCCAGCCTGGTCAGAAGGAACTGAGTCCCCACCTGGGATAGGAAGATGAACGAGAGGGGCAAACCCACAGCCCAGGGAGGAGACTGGAGTGTCTCACCCAAGGCTGGAATGGCTTGGTGTGGCAGGCAGATTACTGCTCCAGGGAATACCCACACCTCCAAGCTCAAACTGAGGCTTTGCTTGGCCCAGGCCTCAAGGGGGTGAGCACAGGGCAGATGGACCAGCACCTGTGATCCAGTGACCAGCACAGTGGCTTCCTCTTCCCAGATGTTGGAGTGGATGAGCCCCTGTCCTGGCAGCACACAGCCCTGAGAAGCTGGGCCCAGGCTACGTGGCAGAAGGTGAGCCAGGGGAGGCAGGGACACCTCCAGGCTATTCCAGGAGTGGTTCTTTCTGTCTGAAGCATTCATTCAGACCTGGGAAACTGGGAACCTTAGAACCTTAGAACAGCAAGTCCTGGAAATGCCAGAGACTGCTGGTTGTAATGTTTAGGAGCATGCACTTCAGCTACATCCCAGTGGATTCACACAAGTCCCCCTTGAGCAATTTAGGGTGCAGCTAAGAGTTGGTTGGGGGAGTAGGAACGGTATGATGGCTGCACTGGGGAAAGCTCTGTGTTGAGATTTTAGTCTTTTTTAAATTTAAAAAAAAATTTTTTGGTTTTTTGAGACAGGGTCTTGCTATGTAGTCCAGGCTGGACTTGAACTCACTATGTGGCCCAGGCTAGCCTTGAACTCAAGGTGTTCCTCCTGCCTCAGCCTCCTGAGTGCTGGAATTACAGGCATGTGCCACCATGCTGGGCTGAGATTTTAGTCTTGAGGAAGCCTTTAAGTCAGAAAGGGGTAGACAGGGATGATGAGAAATTTAAAAAAACTGATGATGGAATGAGGGTGGGATCAAAGATGGGCTTTTGACATAGTGTTCCTCTCTCTCTCTCTCTCTCTCTCTCTCTCTCTCTCTCTCTCTCTC